CAGTGGCGGCAGAGATGGAGGTGAGGCTGGGCTGCGGCAGGGTGTAACTGCAAACCCAGAGGTTTTGGGGTACGAGGCACCTGCTCCCCCCAGGAAGCAGGATCCCCCCAAAACAGCCGTAGTGCCGCGTGCTCTCCGTTGCAAAATACGTGTGGTTTTTTGTTTTTTTTTTTTTCTCAAAATGGTGCCCAGCGTCTGCGATTTGCTGGAAAGGGCAGGTTTTCACACCGGTTTCTGGAAACATCTCATAAAAAATGGCTGCTGAAAACTGCTGGGAAGCTCTTTGGAGAGACGATGACCCGGATTTAGGGGGGAATCGTGCTGGAAGCGGTGGTCAGCAGAGCCGACGGTGCCCACAGCCTTCCTGGGCCATGGCTCTCTCCCTGTGTCCCCCTGCCCTGAGGTTTCCCATTTTTCCCCGCAAATCCCCCTTTTCTCTGGCTTTGGGGAGCTGCCGTTGCCGCAGGGGCTGCTCACGTGCTCGGCCTCCCGGGGGAAGCTCCGGCTGGAGCGAGAGCCCGCAGCTCGGGGGCTGGAAGCAGCAGCAAGCGCTGGAGGCTGGGGGGTGTCTGTGTGTGTGTGTGCGGGGGGGTGTGTGTGTGTCAGTTTTGCCCTTCGCACCCCAATGTGCAACTGCTGTGAGCATCAGCACCCCTTGCCTCTGCCTGGATGCTGGGTACCCTGAGAAATTTGGGCACCCCAAGCACCCAGGCACCCCAGGCATCCTGGGCGCCTTGGGTACCCCGAGCATCCCGAGCATCCCAATCACCCCACACATCCCAGGCACCCTGAGCACCCCAAGTGCCCTGGATGCCCTAAACACTCTGGGGATCCCAAGCACCCTGAGCACCCTGGGCATCCTGGGCACCCCAGGCACCCCAAAACAGCAGTCCTCATCCCCTGCAGCCGCCACGCTGCCTCCACCCAGGGACAACCAGGCTGCAGCCCCCAAGCAAAGCACCGATAGCATCCTGTTCCTCATCCCACTGGCACCAGGGTCTCCCGAGCCACCAAGTCCCTACCCTGGAGCCTGAAGTTTTGGCGGATGCTTGCATAGCAGTGCCCAGTCTCCATACTGGGGACCAGAAGGTGCCTTGTGGGGGGGCCTGGGCATCTCGCCTGGCTGCAGCAAAGGGGTTTGGGACCGGCCGTGGGTTTGGGATTGGCAGTAGGTGAGTGGGCACAGCCCCACGCCGTATGCAGGGCTGGGCTGCGTGGGGCTATTTTTGGGGTGGGTTTCTCTCTCTCCTC